TATAAAAGGACTTTCCAAAGCTGGCTTTAATCGTTGGACAACTGAGATCATGCTGGAACTGCCTGCACAAAAGAATTTGGCATCTCAGAATTTTAGACAAATTTTCAACTTTTATTCATATCTCCATCATAATCCTAATATCGTCACTTTTGTCTTTATAACTATCTGAATTATCTGTATACTTTACAATAAAACAGTCTAACTTGAAAACACAATGTGGTCTGCTTTGTTCATGAAACTCAATTATGGGTAAATGAAGATGGTTACATTCTACTCAATTGCCAGTGAAAGAAACTATCTCTGGCTGAGAATCTATTATTTTACATACACCTCATTTATCTATATACATGCAGTTAGATAAATAGATAAATCCAAAGAATAATAATTCTAGATTGAAATGAGAAAAGAGCTTCAAAACAGTTAATGATTTGATATTTTTAAAACTTGCTTTTATTTAGATAATATTAAGATTTAAGTAAACAAAAAACAATACCAACTTATCTACATATTTATGTATAAAACGTATTTGTTTTATTTAACTCAGTTTACATTTCTCAACTCATTCCAAATGTAAAGTGAAGTCTTCTACACATTTAAAATTTGTTTGACTTTTTTTATTGTAAGAGCAAGCAAATGGTAATAGATCAAACCATATCACTTTAATTTATGAAAGTACACCTTCTTTCCAAGAATTCTTGTATTTTATATAATGTCACCCTATCACAATTTTCTGCAAATTATTTCATTTGACATGTTCATTGAACAAATGATCTATGTTACTAATTAATTGGTGTGGAATTCTTTCAGATGACATTCACTCATATTTAACTCAGAGCACTTTAGCTAATAATATTTTTCAGTTACCTTTTTTATTATCTTACTTGATCTTCATGGCATGATATAGTATTCTTCCTCACCATCATCATTATGTTGAAGATTTTGCAATTTAGCAAGGGGGAGATAAAATAAGACTTTATTTTGAACTTACCTCTTTTTTAGCTTAGGCTGAAGACATGTGCAGTTCCGTCCAAAGAGCCTTCTTAGCTGAATTCCAGTCAACCCACTCCCTTGATTAATAAAAAAAAAGTTGACATGAGATGGCATTTTATTGATGAAATGAGAAAAAGATGTAAACATATATCAACTTTTTGAAAAAATCCAATTATATACTCAACTAAAAATAAAAAATTAAGATATTCTGTTTAAATGGCTCAAAATTTGTCAAATATGTTTTATTTACCCATGCGGTACCATTGCAAAATTGCTGAAATACAACAGACATTATATGATAGCACTGACATCAACTCATCTTGTAGGTTAAAAACAAAAAACAAAAAACAAGCTCAGTTACGCCAGCTTTAGTAGCAGATCATGACAAGGCCTACAGCCAAGGGGTTCTGAATCCAGGTGTCAAGTGCAGCCTTATTTCCCAGTGTATTTTCTTCCTCCCTACAGCTAAAGTATATTTTGAAATTTCTCCGTTTCCATGAACATAGTTGAATTTATGGAGGATATGAAGAAGGATTTCCTTTCTTAGAATCTATAATATTTTACTGTTCTGGTATAGATAATTCAACTTCTTAATTTCAATGTTAACTTTATCTAGATTTCACCCATAACTACATCTATATGTATACATGCATATGTGCAATACACCTATATTTCTCTGTATTTGTATATCTATATCAAAAGATTAACATTTTTATTTGAAAGACACAGAGTTAAATTTACTCACCCATCAGGCAGCACAACTATACTTCCAGTCAATCAAATCTGGTTGTTATAGGTGGTTAAAGAGACATGAGATAGAATTGTGTGGTTCCATTATCTTGCATTTACCCAGTCAGGTTAATAGCTACAAAATCAATGAACATGCCCTATAGGGCTAAAAATAAAAACAACAATTAATGTAATTAGATTAAGAAATATTGTGTATGCTGCCACTCCTAGTAAAATCCATCATCAAATTTTATTACATAGTATTTTTTATTTAATTAATTTTCACCTGAATGAAGGAAAAATGTTTTGAACTTATAGACAAATTGTCTTTAACTTCCAACTAAAAGCTGTTATTTGACCAATTGAAGACTTTATTTTCATCATTTCACAGGATACAGGATACGAGCTTCACAACACAGGATACGAGCTTCACAATCAATTCATTATCTTCTTGGAGAAATCTTCCCCCCAAAAAAATCACTGTTGAAGTCATTGGGTCTATAGAATTAAGAGAAAAACAACAAAATCTCAAAAATATATACATTTCTAAGTCTTGAAAGGTAATCAGTATCCAAAAAATATTACCATTGTTCTATTTTTTAACCAGAAAAAATAAAAATGTTGTTGTTGTATGTGTATCACAATGAAATATGTATTCACATATATATATTTCATTATTTTATTCCTTGAAAATACATAAATTAGTCAGAGCACATTTCTTTGTTAATATTTTATTTAATTTGTAAAATTTATCGACTTTTACTTCACATGGACATAGTTATGTGCGTCAGAAACAGCAATATAAATTAGTCCTTAGTCAGGGTCACACAATCTAGCAGATTTACCCAAGCCTTCATGACACTCTTAAACATGTTATATTTATTTGCTATTGTTTGTCTTCAAAAAGGACTCATTGAGAATAAAAAATTCTGCCAAAGTTTTCTATTTTAGAATGAAAATAAATAATGACTTTTGATAAAGCAGTAAAAGGGATTTAACAGCCAAGACAAACATTCGGTTAAATATCCCCTTATAACCTGAAAGCTACTTTGAGTGCAAAATTCCTCCTTAAAAATGTGCTACAAATTTCGATATGCAGAATTCATTTTTTCAGGTATCCAACAGATATATTTTTTGGAAGAATAGTGAACAAATCCAGTTGAGAAAATGCATTATCCAAAATGTTACTTATAAACCTCAAAATAAAACTAAACAACAAAAATACCCCCAGCAACATGTTTACAGTTATGTAAATTAAAATATTAAAGACCAAACTCAAGATATGGTCATATTCCAGTAGGACTTAAACTTGGGCTTGATTTACTAGCTTCCCAGAGTGAACTAACTGGGAAGAGACCAGCCAGCTCCCCTTACATCCTTGCTTCCTGTCTCAGTTATTTCATTTCTGCACATTTTAATTTGGGGATTTTTAAGACATCAGAATTTTAAGAGACTCTGTTAAAAATGTCATATGATCCAAAGAGCATTGAAATAATATTTAAGCATTAAAAACCTTAATAAATAAATGTTTGTGAAATAAAATGTTTGCTGATTGAGAGAAAATAAGGGGGTGAATCACATAGAATTGGAAAAGAAAATGTAAAAAATTGTGATAAAATTATTTGGGTCAAAATATTGTGATAAAATTAGATATATGAGTAGAAGAATAAAATAGTGATGAAAAAAAGGGATAAGAACAAATACCTAGTTGGTGCTAGTACATATTGGGAATGAATGCAGAATAAAATGTTAAGAGAGGTTTGATGAATAGAAGTGATACATGGATTATGAGGAAGAATAGGGAGAGGAAGAAAAGTGGGGTCTGTAAAGCATTGAGCCAAGATCATCTGCATTTCTAGGTAACACTGTATGCTGAGTCAACTCTGGGAAAATGGGTAATGATATAAAGAGCAGAGAACATTTGTGAGCAGCTGTTCAAGTCAGTTTTAAAAGTGAGGTTTTTTTTCTTCCTAGATAGTGCCTATGTTTCTAAAATAAATTTTGCAAGTTTATATATAAAAGTCAAAAAACAGCAGATGTCGGCAAGGTTGCAAAGAAAAAGGAACTCCTGTACACTAGTGGTGGGAATGCAAGTTAGTTCAGCTCCTGTGGAAAGCAGTTTGGAGGTTTGCCAAAGAGCTAAAAATAGAATTAGCACCCAACCTAGCTATCTCATTACTGAGTACATACCCAAAGAAACATAAATTGTTCTACCAAAAGATGTCTGCAGTCATATGTTCATTGCAGTGCTATTTGCAATAGCAAAGACATGGAACCAGCCCAGATGCCCCTCCACAGTGGATTGGATAAAAAAAATGTAGTATACATATACTATGGAATACTATGTAGTCATAAAAGAGAATTAAATCACATCCTTTGTAGCAAGGTGAATGAAACTGGAGGCCACTATTCTAAGTGAATTAACATGAAAAACCCAAATACCACACATTCTCATTTATGAGTGAGAGTCAAACACCTGGTACACACAGATATAAAGATGAGAACAACAGACATTAGGGAAGTACGTATGGAGGGAGAAAAGAAGGAAAATGAAAGTAAAAAATTGACCTATTGTATACCATGTACACTATTTGGGTGATGGGTTCAAAAGAAATCCAGACCTCACCATCACACAGTATACTCATGTAGCAAACTTGCACATGTACCCCTTAAACTGAAACAAAAAGTTTAAAAAAATAAAATATTTTCTATTGTGCCTTCTACATTTTTCCATTACTGTGCATTTATTACATATGATAAGAATATTTGGTTTTTTGAAATTAATCCTTTTCATTTGAAGGAAGGCATATCATTAATTTCTTAATCTGAGAAATAAATTTGACATTTGAAGAATTTTCTAGGTTTAAAAGCCATAAACTTGATCAATGCATTTTAATCTAGAAGGAGGTAAGATATAAGAATCCAAAGAATGATATAAAAATGAGAACTGAGAAAATATTTATGGCCACACAATATCAAATATAAATGATGCAATGTGTTTGGTAAAGAAGAATTCTAATTAGGGATATTCATTTTGTAACTTTGAAGATACAAATTTTGTTCTCATTAAAAAGAATGTAATGAGTTCAAGGGCTAAGCAATCTCAAAAATTTTAATGAGTGTGTGCCTCTCTTTGTGTTAACAACAGATTAATGGGTTGCATCAGATAAATGAATAACTTAGAATGCTACAAAAGAATGGTCACGGGTTTTATCACATGTTCTGCTCAGGGTATATAAGCATCCTTCAAACACATTGACATCCATACTCAGAATCTTGCCTTGAACAGCAAACCAAACCCCCCACCTTGACACCATGAGCTACGGCAGCTACTATGGAGGGCTGGGCTATGGCTGTGGAGGCTTCGGTGGCCTGGGCTATGGCTATGGCTGTGGATGTGGCAGCTTCCGCAGACTGGGCTATGGCTGTGGCTATGGTGGATACGGATATGGCTCTGGGTATGGAGGCTGTGGATATGGCTCTGGGTATGGAGGCTACGGATACGGCTGCTGCCGCCCATCATGCTATGGAGGATATGGATTCTCTGGCTTCTACTGAACAACTCCTCTAGTACCAAGCATCTGTTACCTTAAGGAGATTTGCTAAAATATACTCCACTTAATGAATTCTGATCACCCCAGATCTTTTAGCAAGTAAAATCCAAAAATTTTGTGGAATTTATTATTTATAAGTGTCTCATCATGTCTTCTTACAACCTCAACTTGAGGACAAGTAGCTGGTTTATGTTCGATTTCCAATAAACGACCTAATTTGACACAATAAATATGGGTTTTGTTTGGTTCATTTATCTCAAGTATGTGTATATTCTTACATGTAAGTTTTACTAATTGTCAAAAATATAACATATGCAAGATTGCATAAGCCTGTATATATGTATTTATGTATAAACTGACATAGAAAACAGCTTTAGCCATTACATTCAAAACAATAGAATATAGTTCTTATTCTTTAGTTAGATAACTTTAAAATCTTAATTGACAGCAAAAATAAAACATGGAATTTTAAGTCTACATGCATTTTAAGAAATATAACCATTGTACATTATTTCATATATTATATATTTCAATTTCTAGTTCAAAATTGTGAATTAATCCTTCAACACCTTCAAAAATTTTGATTGTAAATTGAAATGGTATTATATGGTTTTTTTTTCTTTTTTTTTTTTTTTTTTGAGTTGGAGTCTCACTCGGTCACCCAGACTGGAGTGCAGTGGCCGCTCCCGGCCACCGCAGCCTCGCCTGCTGGGCTCCAGTGATCCTTCCGCCTCAGCCCTCCGAGTAGCCGGAATTACAGACACGTGCTACCATGCCCGGCTGATTTTTTGATTTGTTGTAGAGATGAGGTGTCGCTGCCCAGGCGGGTCTCGAACCCGCGGGCTCAGGCATTCCACTCACCTCAGCCTCCCAAAGGCGCAGGATTACAGGCTGAGCCACCCAGCCCGGCTGTATTATATGTTTTTTATGAATGTGTCTAGCATTATGGATGCTAGATATCTGTAGTCTGTGTTCTCCAGAGAATAAAACCAATAGGTTACATTGTTATGACTGGAGTTCGAGAAGGTAAATTGCCATTACACAGAGAATTTAATTAAGAGTTCTTTATTTATGCCGGTGACCTAGAGCGGACTATTATCCTAAAGGGCTTTTGGCCCTGAGTGAAGCAGGTGGTGGGCTTATAAAAAGACAAAAACTTCAAAGATACATAGCAATTTAGCAACCATAGCAACCATAAACTAGCAACTTAACAACCAAAATGGAAACTTTTGATTGTTAGGGAGTTTTGGTTAACTTTATGTCCCAGGCACAGCCGGTGACTGGAAAAATTAGGGCAGTTATATGGAGTTAAGGTGGAAGGACTACTATACAATGGAGTTACCTTGGTTAGGTCACTAACAAAATATAGGCTTATAATATGAGAATGTAACAATAGAGTTAAAGGCGTAGCATTTGAGTTTAGTTAACAAAGTATACAATTACATGGAACTTGTGACTAGGAAGTTTCCAAACGGTCAGGAGAAACAGTTTATGGGAAACAGGAATGTGGGTCTGTGAGTACAAAGAACTTATTTTAGTCACATGAAGGGGGGCTATATCTGGGTAGCCAGCAGCTAAGATGGAGGATTTTTAACAAAAATGCAGTTACTTATATTATTAAGCAAGTCATTACAGGCTATTATAAGTTTTACAGACATTTCAATGCAAAGATATATAGGAAAATATTTAGTATGAGGGGTGGATTCCCATAATTATGGGAGCTGAGAAGTCCTATGATATGCTATCTACAGGCTGGAGGCCCAGGAATGCTGGTGATGTAGTTCCAGTTCAAACCTAAAGACCCAAGGACACGGACGGGGAGTCAATCGTGTTTAAGTACTGGTCTGAATCCAAAGTCACTAACCAGAGTTGCTGAAGTATGAGAGCAGGAAGATGAATATCTCAGCTCAGAGAGCACATTCACTCTTTCTTCCTCCTTTTTTTTCTTTTCAGGGCCTGAAGAGGTTGGATGGTGCCCACTTAATATTGATGAGGGTGATCGTTTTTTCTTAGTCTACAGATTAAAATGCTAATCTCTTCCTGAATCACCCTCACAGACACACTCAGAAATGCTTTACCAGCTAACCCAGTCAAGTTGGTACTAAAAAATGAATGACTACAATATTAATATAGATAAAACTGTAATCAGAGCAGACTTTATTCCAATCTTATAATTCAAATTCCTAAGCCTTTAGGGAAAGTAAGGTCTCTTTTTCTATAAATCTTTGCATTATATATAATATTCTTATTCATAATCTTCTGCTTTTATCTAGTTTGTTACACATGTAAAATAAGAGTAGTGTAAGTCCTTGATAAACTGAATAATAAAATGTTAACTTTAGTCATCCAACTCATTTCACTTGTCCTTTTATGGGAATGTTGTGAACTTCAATTTTATTATCATCATATATACTGAAAAGTATGTAATCCAGTAGAGACAAGAAATACACAGAAATATCATCATGAGACAAAATATTGTGTAGCTTCAACTGATCATTCAATATTATATATGAATAAATTTCAGTGAAACATCATCTATTCAAACAAACAACAAAAACCAAACAATCTGTTTTCCTAAAACTGAAATTTAGGTAAAGTTATGAACCTACAAATGTTTTGGATAAGCTGGCCAAATATAGTAATATGAAGACAAAAGTGGAATTATAGAATTAAAGACCAGAAAGGGACACTAAAACCTTGCAGTGCTGTCCTCCATTTTGTAGGCACAAAAACCCAGAATATGGGTTCCTGATAATTAGTGGCAAGATTAGATCAGAATTATGATGTCCTGAATCTCACATATTAGACTATACTAAACAGATTCTCTTTTTATGTATTTTCTTCTTGAATATTGTCAAATAACTAGTCTGAAAGTTCTGGTTTCTTAGTCTACAGATTAAAATGCGAATCTCTTCCTGAATCACCCTCACAGACACACTCAGAAATGTTTTACCAGTTAACCCAGTCAAGTTGATACTAAAAAATGAATGACTACAATATTAATATATTTAGTTAAAACTGTAATCAGAGCAAACTTTATTGGGTACTGTCTCCAGGGACAGTTTTCATGTGGACTGAAAAGTAATAATCAATATAATTATTGCAGCTATTGACATTCTTAGTATAATCACTATTATCATAATTTCATTCTGTTTTTGATTGTATTGATCTATGTCTGAAGTGAGAGAAAATATTTTGAATTTATAACAAAATAATTCTTTACTTACAGGAAAATATAGGAATATTTTTCACTCTCCTATGCATCAACATGAGTAGAAACTTGGGTCATAAGTTGAAACTTCTTAAAAAATAATAATGATTCATATCTGCATTTGATTTAATAAATGGATAGAAAAATAATAACCTTTCAAAGGAATTCCGTTGTGAATTTTTTGGCTTGTACATACTGAGAAGAAATTAGATTTGTTACATATTCTTCAAACTGTTTTTCTTGTTTTTATAGCTAGTGAATAAATAAGTTATGAATGTCATAGTCACATGCTTTCTTCTTTGAAAATGTATTTGGTGTTTATTGCATTATTGAAATTTTACATTTGTATCCCATGTTATTTTTATATAGAGAGATGGTCTTGTGCATCAAAAAATTGCTCTTAATCCATGCTCTGACAGAGCTACACAGAAAGAACATGAAGTTCTTAATGCTGTATAATTTATTCATAATTCTAAATTGTTCATTAAAAATGAAAATATAAATTTTACCAATGGACATTTTTTGAAATGGAGAATTAAAATGGAATGAAATTGGATTAGAGTAGTAGTGACATTAAAAAGCAAAGCTAGAGGTGGTTAAATGCTACTCTGTTACCAGAAATCTTGTTAGAACTCATGTTCAGTCTGAACATTTTCCAGAATAGCCAGTGAGTTGCTCATGTTACACTATGCATGGCCCTTGCTTTGATATCAAAGTCATATAATTTACTTGAATGATATTTTTGAGTGTCAACTAAATGCTAGGCTTTATTTTGACACTAAACAGGACAGAGAACGTACTTCTTGAAAAATAAAATGTATCTTTGGAACGTGAGGCCATTATGTTAAGTGAAATAAACCAAGCACAGAAAAAAAATATCACGTTCTCACTCATGTGAGAGTTAGCAAAGTTGATGTTAAGGAGATAGTAGAATTATATAGACAGTAAAGGCTGAGATGGATTTGAGGGTGGGAAAGGGGATGAAGAGAGGTAGGTTAAAAGATATAAACATACAGTTAGATAAAAAGTATAAGTTGTTTAACAGCAGAGTACAGTTACTATAGTAAACACGTTTTATATATTTCAAAGTAACTAGAAGAAAGGACTTGAATTGTTCACAACACACAGAAATGATAAATACTCAAGGTGATGGCTACCTCAACTACGCTCTTGATTATTACACATTCTACACATGCAACAAAATATCACATGTACACCATAAATATGCAAAATATTATGTATTCATTAAAAAAGTAAAATTAAATAAAGAATTAAAAATGGACCATCTAATTACTCATAAATCTCAACAAAATCTTGGCATATGATTGCAGTCAGATAAAATCAATAAGTTTTTGGAGTCCCAAGTTGTAAAATAAGAGCATATCTGGGTGAGGCATAATCAGAAATGAGGTCAGCCTTGGGTATTGGTAACTAACTCTCTGGGCAAAGCTTAGGGATTCTAAGACCAGGCCAAGTCTTCTAAAGAGCCTCTCCTTCTCTCTTATCTTTTTCACAATTATACCTTACATTCAGATAATTTCTTTACTTGTTTTAAGTTGTACAAAACTTTTTAAATTTTCAAAAAGTTTGAAGAATTCAAGTGCATTTTAAATAAGAAACAATATTATGAATGTCTCAAAGAGGTCTAGTTGACATCTTAGGAAAGGTTAGCTAGACATTGTCCGAAAACAAAGCACATACACACACACACACACACACACACACACACACACACAATCAGCAAAGAGGAGACAAGGGCAAATGTATTATATTGGTTATGGAGATCTAAATGGAAGGAATATAGTGTTGATTTGAGCAAATAGTTTTTAGCCAAGACCATTATACCTGCTTCACACTTTTACCTGGATACAGTGATAAATAGTGGAAGAAAGGACATAGGGTGATATTGCAGTGAGATTTGAAAAAGAAATAAGATACATAGATTAATGATAAAAGGTAGAGAATTATAAAAATGATGTACGGAGGCAGGCATAATCTTTTGTGGTAACACTGAGGATAGAACTTATTATGGAAAATGACTCCAGATATAAAAAAAGAACTCTGGCAAAAGATAAGATAGCTTTTTCACCACTATAATAGTTTCTCCAGTTGTGCTATGTTCTTTTTTTCTTTTTTCTTTTTTCTTTTTTGAGTTGGAGTCTCATTGTCGCCCAGACTGGAGTGCAGTGGCCGCTCCCGGCCACCGCAGCCTCGACCTGCTGGGCTCCGGCGATCCTTCCGCCTCAGCCTTCCGAGTATGTTCTTAAACCAAAACAAATATTTTGTATGCTGGTGTCATGTGTAAAGCCTAAAATAAATATAACAATTGTGCATGGTCAAAGTTTTAAACCTCCAGAAATCAGGTGATATTTTGTTATTGCATTCTGGTACATATCACAAATGAATCAAATTTTTCTTGCTTCTCATGCTACAAAATATGTGTGCCTTATGAAGAAACTGATACATTTAAAAGTCTTGACTGGGTATTTTTTGAAAGTTTGTAGAATTAATTATGACAACCTCCCAAAATGCTAGTGATGAGAATACATTTAATTAGAAATTCAAGACTATTTAAAGTGACCGATGTTAAGTGACTTGTAAATAAAGTATTTTATTTAGGGTTTGGTATGCATGCACTTTGAAGAAACAGCAATTTCTTCTAATAAAATTAAAGCCACAAGCTCAAGGATAACCCAGCGAGGTAGCCAAACAAGCTCAGACATTCTTAATAAGTGTTGTCAGGAGACAGTAGATAAATGAGTTGCCTCAGACAAGTAATTCATGGAATGACACAACAAGAGGGGACATATGTTTTGTCACATGCTCTGAGCAGTGTATATAAGCATCCATCGGTACATGCTCACATTCACACTCAGGATCTTGCCTTGAACAGCAAACCAAACTCACCATCCCTGACACCATGAGCTATTACGGCAGCTACTACGGAGGCCTGGGCTACGGCTGTGGAGGCTTCGGTGGCCTGGGCTATGGCTATGGCTGTGGATGTGGTAGCTTCCGCAGACTGGGCTGTGGCTGTGGTTATGGTGGCTACGGATATGGCTCTGGTTATGGAAACTGCAGATACGGCTGCTGCCGCCCATTGTGCTATGGAGGGTATGGGTTCTCTGGCTTCTACTAAATAAATTGCTGAAACTTGAAGCAGAGGGGCTACTTCTAAATGTGTTTAATCCTATCTTGTACTTCCAGAAACATCCATTCTATTGTTCTCACCGTCAACTGACAGATATTTATCAATGATTAAGCTACTTCTATGAATATTTGTTGTATTTTTACCCCCAGAACCTAATATCTAAATGTGTAGTCAATATGTATAGCCACTCTAGGGTGCTCTGTTCATTTTTTAATTCTTCTTACCACCATTACCACAATGTCATCTTTCCATCAAGATTCTAGACAAAACTTGTATTTTGCTTTTATCTAATAAATTGATCATTTAAAATATAAATATTTTGGTTCTTTTAATTATTTTATTTTTATCATTTTAGCATCTCATTTTGCAACTAATATAAAATATACTTATGAAGCAGTGAGTTCTATGGAGTGAAGTATGATGAAAATGTTTCTAGTCTGCTATATTATACAAGCTTATGAACATACAAGATGTCATATTAACAATAAATGAAAACTTGTTCACGTAGGGTATTAGCACCTCTCAAATGTCTCTCAAGTGTTTCTGGAATTACTAAGGAGAGTGCTATCCTCATATTATGCTTTGCAACACTGCTGTTAGCTGATTATCTGCTTGGTACCATTGTAGTGTCCAGGTTTGTCTTTGTTTATTGTTGTTGTTGTTGTTTTCTAACCTTCATCTTGAGGGGAGACAGAAGATTGGGCGGTATCACTCATTATCTACTAAGGACCATTGTCCCTTATAAGCCTGATTTGCCTCCCACTGACATGATGCAGGGGAGCCCAGTAACACAGTGTTATACGGAAAGTTGGGACATGTGGGAGGAAAACTTTTCAGATTTCTTTTAAGACCGGAATAGTGGGCTCTTCTTGTCCTATAGACCTCAATGGATGGATGGTGACATTAAGTCAAATGCTAGTAACATGCAAGATGCTTTACCAATCACAGTCCCTCTTGGCTGTCAACTCTGACTTCATTGCTCAGACTAATTCAAAGAGCCTGGCTCTTTCTTCCCTAGGAATTTTTTCTCTTCCAGAAAATTCCTCAGTTCCTCCAAACTGACTTTCTTTCATGCTTGTTCCACAAGTTCACTATTCTTGGCCAGGCATCATAAAACACCAATAGTGAGCACAAATTGGACCCTGCTCCACTAGGTTTTTTAGTCAACTTTCAAAGTGGCCAGCAAAGCCTGTTCCACCAGTTTGTCTGACATGATCCAGCATGTCTGAACCCACTTAAATTCACACTTGGACCCCTTCTATTTATCTCTTAAAAATAGTTTTATCTCTTTGTAAACCTAAAGAAAGAACATTGCTGTATGACAAATTTCTTATAGAAAAGCTTACCTTTTTATATTCTTGGTTAGATTGTTAAATAATTAGAAACTGGGAACTTGAACATATTTTCTTTTCACATATTCTGTAATTTAGATTTCAAATTTAAAAAGCTAAGCAAAAATAAAAGAAAGAGAAATAAGAGAATTCATAGGTCACGGGCCTAATCACTTACATAAATTTTTTCTTAATTATTTAAGAACTCTATGTAAACCTGTTTTATAAACCTTCTCATGGATGGATGTAACAAAAAGTCAAATGTTAGTAACATACAAGATGCTTTACCAATAAGGGTCCCTCTTGGCTACTAACTCTGACTTTATTACTCAGTCGAATTCAAGAAGTCTTCCACGTCTTATTTTATTTTGTTTTTAATTGGCACATAATAATTATACATATATATGGGGCACACAGTGATGTTTTGATACATATAATGTATAGTGATCAGATCAGGGTAATTAGCATATTGATCTTTGTGAGAATGAAATGAGAAGTGGAGATAACATATGTTCAAGTGCTGTTCGACTGAAAAGCCTCAGTTCAAAGATTCTCCAACAAATCCCCTTTCCGATTATTTAATTTTGCTAGTGAAGATTTGCAATCTAAAGCTTAGTATGCCCAAAGTCCCTTAGAAGATTTCGTCAGGTAATTATTTTAAGCTTTCAGCAAAACAGGCAGTAGAATGATCCCTGTAGATTAATAATAACTGGAGTTACTATTCTATATGATTAATATCTTTAATTTTTCACTGTCAACTCTAAAATTAACAATATACAAATTAGTCTGTATATTTACATTTGCTCTATAAGATGTGTAAGTATATATAAAACTGGCCATATAAAAATGATGGTACTTTTAGGGAACAATTATTTGGAATATTGTAAGGTAAACGAAACCAGACCAGGTGAAACGGCAACAAAGTAGCCAAGAAAAATTTATTACCGCAATCCCGGGCGAGGTTCACAGGTCCATGTGACGGTGGGCCGGAGAAGTGTTGCCCAGCGAGATGGGCGACAGGTTTATAAAGGGCACAATGAGGAAGCTGTGAGGGGGATTGGGGAGAGTGATCACTGGTTGGGACAGCTGTCGCGTCTGCTGGCGATTGGCTGAACGGGGTTGCTAGAGTTGCTGTAACAGGTACTGGCTGGCTTTGCGGCTGGAGTCTTAGTTCCAGTTACTCATTTTTGCTGGCTTACTTTCGCCCGTTGTTCTCCTGGTCCGGGTTGGAGCCATCTTGTTGAGGCCCGCCCCACGCTCCGGTACCTCTGGCCTCACAATTATATAATACATGACTGCTCAACAGAAATTGTATCATACTAAGTGTGACCTTATATATAGAAAAAACTGTTTCCTTTTAACCTACTCCTTAGTTTCAATTTCAAATCAGAAAACTAAATAAGGGAAGCAAAAACAACAATTTAAAAAACCATACTTAGTAGGTTTATGTGTTAGTCTTAGTTGAAGGTCTTTTTTAATTTCTGATCTGAATTGTCCAGATATTTTTAAATTTGATTTGTACCCAAATATAATTAGTGCTTCTTCAAAATGTCATGACTTATAAAAGTATATTGCAAAAGTCCTTTTTACGTTATTTGTTAGATTGTAAAAGAATTGTGAAGTGTAACAAGAAATACATTTCTAAATTGCAGCCCTTGAATAGTTCTGCTGGGAAAAATGAACTTTTGTTTATATCTATTACAGTATATCAGAAGATATCAGAACATACATTTCATCTGAAAACAAGTAGAGGGAAAAATCTCTTGATAAAAATAGGTCTTAATTTTGAAAAAGGCATAATAATGTTAGGTGTATGCAGGCACGCTAGTGAGTAGGATTGCATAATTTAGGATTCTGGATTAATGTTAAAGGATAAAATTGAAGGGTGAATAATTTATTAAAACATGGATAAAAAATACAACCAAAAATGGTTTCAGAGACAGAACAATAATGATCGCATCTTATTATTGAACTCAAATTGGTTGTAGACAATCTAATAATAAAATCAATATAAAAATTCTTTAACCAATGAAAAATTCTGTTAATATGAGAGGTAAGCGTAATGAAAATTTTATCAGACGTGTATAGAATGAAAATTTAGGATATCTGCTCATTTTTTAAAGTCTGAATAAAAGTCTCTTTTTTGGGAAATATGTTTGACAAATATCATTGCTGGTCTCTGAAATTCTGAAATTTGGAGGACTAGTTTACAACTATGCATCCCTTTATGATTCTAGCTATGAACTTAAAGATTTAGAGGTTTAATATTGTCATATATTTAGCTGTGAGCGGCAGAGCCTTATGGATTCTATTATATAATTGGTTGATAATGGCACCATAATCCATACAACCACTTAGAGCAGAATTTGGAGAGGCTTCCCACGCCTCTGCCATCTCCATAGCCTTAACTTTACCCTCTTTCTAATGTTCATAATTTGTCACTTGGACTATGGATACCCACCTTCTCATCTATTCCTGTCTGGTCTCCTGGACTCAAGTACTGCCATTCTTCATTAGTTCCTTTATTAAAAGTCTTTTGTTTAAAATGGTTCCTATGTCTCTCCTTGGAATAACATAAAACACTGATATTATAATGAAACAATGAAATTCTCAATATGCTGATATTAAAAGAAATCTAGTCCCCTTAAAAAGTAAGTCACAGAAAAGGCCATCATAAACATGATACTCAATAAACATTGACTTAATTAATATATATATTTACCTAAATGATCCATAATCTTTGTCACATATTTGCCTTTACACTAGCTTCACCCTCACCTTGAATGGCCTACTCTTCACTTCTAATAATGAGTTCCCTCAAAATTCAACTTAAGTGTTATCTCCATAGGGATGCCTTCCTGATCCCAGCAGTTACCTGACAGCATCACTCACACATGTCACTTTTACTTAGAAGCCTTCTCTGATAGCCTATTGGCCTACAGTCCCCTTTATATAGTTTTTTTCTTTGTAGCACATATCACCATTAGATACATTTGCTTGATGACTCACATTTTGTGTATCTTCTCAAGGGAATATGAGCTCCCATGTGGGCAGAAACTTAATCTCTCTCACTCATTTCTGCAGCCATGGAACCTGAACATTGTCTGGGTCACAGAAAGTACTGCATAAAATATGTACACAATAAATCTATCACAGCACCAACCTATTGCTTATTAATTTATATGTCAGTTTCTCTAGTAAATTGTGTGTCCTTTTATTATAATAGCATAATTGTATTTATAAAAGTGAAAAAATACACTTTAATTTCATGTTAAATTAGCATTGTACTTTATTCATCTTTCCCATACATATTAACTTACTCCTACAAGTACTGGGCACTTTGATAACTACAGGAACAGAACCATAAGCCAATTTCAATATAACTACTAATAATAACTCATATTTGAATTCTTTCTTTGGTCACATGCATTATTTCACCCAAACTTTATATAGTATGAGATAGACACTATTGTTATTTCTACTTAAAGGTGAAGAAATTGTACTTTAGAGAATTCAAATAACTTATCCAAAATCATACAACAGTGAGTTGTGAGATAACAATCTATGATAAATTAAAAAGTAAACGGGTTTGACCTTAAGTATAAGTTTGTGTATCTGAGCAAATGAAGGTTAGGCCAATGCCCCTAAAGAAAGTCT